CCGCAGAGCGGGGTCGGCGGATTATAGCACTCAGTTGCATTCCATGGAAGGCTGGCTTTGCCTGGCTTTTTTGCAGTGGAAGCGGTGCTGAGGTGTCAAGCAAATCTGGCAGCATCAGGGTACAACACCATGCCGCAGCCAGAAGCGCCAGAGGCCTTTGCCGGTCGCTTGAGATGCGCTCAAGCAAGCATCCTTGACAGCATGGACAGCTGCCTGCTTCGATTTGCTGCAGGCAACGGGAGGATACGTCTCGAATGATGTTCCAAGGCAACGCAACTGTGCCATCCATTGCCATCCTTGCATTGTTTGCTTGCATTTTCCTGGACTCTGCAGGAAAACTGGCAAGGAGATGCGCAACTTCTCCGATCTTTTTGGGACCGAGCTTGGTCGCCGTCAGGCACCATCCCAGCCGCGCCAGGCCCACTGGATCAAGCTCTTTAACACTCCTTGTCTTTGTCCTGGTCTTTGTCTGTGTGTCCAAGACAGTAGGCGGCCGCCTTGCAGGATATCATCGGCACCTCGACGTGCACCTTCTTGGATCATCGTGGTGAGATCGAGTCCTCGCGCAGGGAAGAGGGCAGGCAGGTGCCCGCTTGGGGCTTGAGGGTCGCAAAGGCTGCCAAATTGCCAGGCTGGCTGGTGCTGAAACCCCCGCAAACAGAAAGGAGGCCAGGCATGGTGTACTTCCCACTCAACAACTTGCTGCCCACGCTTCGATCGTGAATTTGCGAGGCAGAGATGTCATCAACATTGCACGGGCACAAGGCGCCCAGAGGGCAAAAGGCACCAGACCTCGAGCAGGCACTGGCTGAGACAAAGTTTGTTTTGATAAAGAAGCAGATGGTCCCCAGTCCCTGCCTTTTTTCTTGCGGTCCTGCTCAGACTCATGCCGTGGAGCGCGGTGTTTGGGATAGCAAGCACGGCATCACCATCACAGCAGAGGTTTCGCGTACTGCCGGCATTCCTTGGGGCCTGTCACGGGGCTTGTAATGGCATAACATCAAGTAAGAACTAGCTGCAGTTGTTCTTTCTTCCCAGGTAGAAGACGCGAAAAAGAGTTCAACAAGGCTGCTTATGTGATGCATTGCCCGCAAAAAGACAAACTCAATTGATCTTTTGACAGGACTTCGAGGGAGAGACCTTCCACTTGTCGCGCAAGCAGGACTGTTTGGACTCCGCAAATGCACCTCGGAGCGCAGAGACTAGTGGCAGTGTTCATCAAATTTTGCTTTGGAATTATTCAAGGGCTCTTCTCATCTAGGACGTTGGCACATATCTTGCATGTTGGAGAAGCGCTCAGTTATGTGGTGCGTGCTGTCACACTTTGTTTGGTGACTACAAGCAGGAGGCGTCTTGGGGGATGATTCGGGGCTGATTGGGAGGGCTGTTGCCTACTAAGTACTGCTGCTAGTGAGAGCTCCCCCAAGCATTGCATGTCAGAGCCATCTTGAACACAAATTCAGGTGAGGGAGAACATTGGCCAACCTGCTCCAATAGAGGCGAGCCTTCAAATCTTTGCAGCCTTTTGTAGGGAGTGGAATAGGAATGGTTTGCTGTCATGTCAGGTACCCGTCTCCCCCAGAAGCGGGACAGAGCCTCAACATATGCATGCTACTTTGAGCATAGACGCAGGGTAATTGAATTTCAGGGCGGGGCTGATGTCGCCGTACTCGCCCACAAGACAAGGAGGTGGGTTGCTGGCCGTTCATAGGCTTGCGTGTCACCTTACAGCCGGCTCCATTTTTCTCTGTTTTTGCAGGTCCGAGTGCTGCCCAAAGAGAAAAGATGCTGCAGTATGCCAAAGCCGGGAACCTACCGGCCAAAAGATTTCTGTATCAAATCAACCGTCGCTCACAGTAATCACGCTTGCAGTCGCGATTGGCTTGATGTAATATCTTTGATGAGTCTTGGTTCATCTACCAGTAGCGGTCTGGCTCAGAATGCTTGCTTCTGCTGGTGGGTTGCACAAGGATACGAAGCTCGCCTCGTTGCAGCTGGGCGCCTAACCTTTCCAGCTCCGCAGGACCCGCAGCTTGCAGCGGTGCTATTCCCTTGATTTTGCTTGTAGATGCTTGTAGATGCTTGTAGCTAGAGCGACTTCCTGAACTTCATGTGTGTTCATGCCTGCCAGAGCGTTGAGGTCAAGCATTTTTTCGTGAGGGCGGCCCGAGCATGTCACGGGGTGAGCAACCACAAATCGTTGTTGAGCGGAGTTTGGTGTGTTGTTGTGCATGGATCTTACGCCATAGTGACCGTGTGAATTCGGTTCCATGAAGTCTTGGAACTAGTCTGGGCCCACAAGAGAGGCCATCCCAAAGTGCTGGAAGGCACTGTTGGGCCCTTATTTCTTGACACTCTAGAACTCGGTAGTTTTATGCACAAAGCTGAGTACCTCAGCAAGCCAATGATGAGATCCAAGCATGAAGACAAATGATGTCTTTCCGCACTGATTTCGCACGACGACAACCAAGGTAGACTTTGGAGGTCGAATGCAACACGTTTGTACATGGTGATTCCTGTCCGCAGCCGCGCTTGGCTTGTTGGAATGTGTCCGACATGACATGGACACTTAAGTTGCCTGCCACTTTCTATATGACTCTCAGTCTGCAAACAGCTGTAAAGAAGTACCACGTGACAACAGTGCTGCCCGGTTTCTTGCATTGAAGCACAATTCGTCAGAAATTCCCAGAGCCGAGGTTCATATCGATGAAATGCTGGCCCTTGGTGCTACTTTTTAACTTGGCTGAGACCCTGACCCTCCACGACACCCCAGATGTGGAAGCGCAGGTTCGGCAATTTCAGCAACGGCAGTTCTGGGAGCTAGCCACGTTTCTCTCCGTTTCACAAAAGCCAGTTTTGTGTTTACTTGCTGGCATTTTGAGGTCAATCCTTCCGGCAGCGTTTTGCCCAGGACAGATGAATGTCTGATGAACTCATACCTACGGCTGTGGCTCTGGGGTCTGCTACAAAGGGTTGTAACTCAGTGAATCTGCGGAAGGAGACAAATTATGCGGACAGAAAGAATAGCAGCGCTGATGGAGGTGGGACTTTGCAAAGGCAGCGAAGGCATAGGATTTTGCAAATCCTTGTTTTGCTCAAAAACTTTGCTGAGGCCACGGTTGCTTCAGACGGCATCACTAGGTCGCAGGCAGCGGCAGCTTCCAGAGATAACGTTTCCACGACATCAGGCCCGAGTACGACAAGTGCATCGGAACGAACATCCAAGACGACCACTGAATCCACCACCACGGAATCAACCAGCCGATCGTCAACTTCGGCTCCAACGACCACAAAGGCAAGGCAGACGTCAACCACAGAGGAACCCGCCGAGGAGGTTGAAACAACAATGGAGGCTGAAAGCGAGGATGAGACGACCTCCAAAGCAAGTAAAACAACTTCTAAAGGTAGCACAACCACAACAACCTCACCCGAAGCCACGTCGACTTCCAAAGGAAGCACCACCACAGAAACCACAGCCAGAAGCACAACTTCCGAAGGAAGCACCACGACAGACACCACAGCCAGGTCCAAAACAACTTCTTTAGGAAGCATGTCGGCTGCAGCCAAAACGACTTCCAAAGGAAGAACAACAACAGAAACCGCATCAAGAGCAAAGACCACCAAGACAAGCACAGCAACTCCGTCTACAACCCAAGCTGAAGAAGAAGAAACAACGACCTCCGAAACGACCACGAGCAGAACATCCAAGACTACCCGGAGTACCACAAGCATGCAGGCTGAAGAAGATGAGGAGTTGAGTGTGGAGGAAGAGACAACTTCAAAAGCGATTCGCAGCTCCACAACACGGGCATCAACAACTGAGCCGGCTGCGGCAACAACGTCCACAACGTCAAGGACAAAGTCAACTTCCGTCACGCCCTCTACTTCGTCCTCCACTACATCTACTTCGTCCTCCACTACATCACAAGTGATAACATCAACAACGTTGTTGAGCAACACAAGCACCGTAGCCGTGAGCACGAGCGAATCCACCTCCAAAACCACCTCTACAAGGCAGACGACAACTCAGGAGCTGACAACTCCAAGCACGGTGACGTCGACCACCTTGACATCCACAAGCACAACGACATCTACTTCCTCATCATCCTCTACCTCAAAGAATTCTACAACTGAAGCTGCCTCTTCCTCTTCGACAACAACCTCAACTACGCCACCTCCCACAACATCCTCAACGCGAACCTCAACAACAACAACAACAACGCCACCAAGACCCACAACCAGCATGCGCTTCCTTAACCTTAATGCCACAACTGTAGAGGCCAGTGTCATGACGCTGCAGAAAGGAGGCGCTTTTGGATCGCAGACAAATGCTTTGGCCTACGAAGCCGCTTCTATGGCTTGCTCTGCAGTGCAAAGTAAACTCTGCACAATTCTTCAGGTAGAGAGCCTCAGTTTGCATTGGCATGGCCGGAAGTTCATAAGTTGTTCAAGCTCTCTGAGACTGCTGTTTGCACCAAGGGCTTCATGGCAAAAGTTCAAAGAAACACAGCGTCAGGGATCCTTTTCAGCATGGGTTTCGAGTGCTGATGGAGACTTGCCTGCATATGATGAGGGCCGACCAGAAAGTAGACCTTGGCGTGCTCCATTTTTTGGGAGGCTGCATCGTGCAGATGTCAGAAGCCCCATCTGTCAGTTGTGGACACGGTTCTGCAGCTTCGTTTCTGGGCATACAAACTTATGTAGGCACGGTGCAGATTGTGCCCTGTTCGTTGAGATGAGGTTTGATGCCCTGTGCTGTCAGGATCAGGCCGGGATAAGCTTCTTTTCACTTCAATCGAATTTCAGACCAGTTGGGTTCCGAAGGCTGCGACAACGCTGACCACAACAGAACCGGCAGAGCTTCCAATTCTCCCCATCAACCTTACGAAGAAGCCTGGTGATTTTCCTTTCCAGGAGTCCGAGGCCTCAACTACATGGATGGAGAAGTATGAGATGCCTGTAAACACCACAAAGGCGAAAGTGTCAAGTACCACAAGTACGACCGAAACATCCCGCACCATACCGACCACTACAACGAACACCTCGACCACTACAACCTTTACCAGCACTACTGAAACAGCCACCACAACGACCGCGACATCTACAACAACAACCTCGCTGCCTCCATGTGTGTACACTGAGTGGAACGAATGGTTGGAGCCCCAGAGACATTCTGAAGGTGTGTGGGCAGGAATTGCCTGCCATGCACATGGTGCACGCATCGAGCCGCGTAGAGTGCTGAGTCAAGCGTGCTTTGACTGAGGACGGATTGCTACCCGTTCTGCGAAGGAACAAGGGTCAGGATGCGACGCACAAACATGGGCGCTTTGGCTAACGATCACTGCCTGGACTGGTTCCAGCAGGTGTGAAGTTTCAAAACGCAGACGTCGCAATTGAATTTTTAAGCTTAGATTGCTTGCAGGCCAACTGCAGCAACATGTGCGTGGACTGCAAGTGGGATGATTGGCAGGAGATTGCAAGAGCCTGTGAGCGATCGGCCAGAAGCTGTTTAGCTTAGAGGATTGGTCGGACACATGCCCGGATCAGAGGGTTCATCAACAAGGCACTCGGACGAGGTCCCATTGGGTTTGTGTCGCTGAAGTTCGCAGCGCTCTGTAGAGAGCAAGCCTTCTTGTCACCAGGATCCGCGACAACACCCCACAGCAAGGCGGAGGATCGCAATGTGTCGGCGATGCCATGGAAACAGAGGTGTGGTTGCTGCATAGCACAGCCAGGCTCAGCTGTACCTGTGTCACTGCTAACCCTACGCAGAAATGCCCTATCGATTGCTTCTTCACGGATTGGTCAGCAGCTGGGATGCAGTATATACTGAAGACAAGTTGGAGCCGCTTGACATCCATTGCTTCTGGACTGCTTCAGGAGTGGACTGCATGTCCTCCGTGTTCAACAACAGCCGTGTCAGTGAGCACACGCCAGATGGTGGAGGCGCCTTGAATCAACATATGAGCAACTTTCCCTCATTGCCAATTTTGCGTTGCTCCAGGCGCAGAATGGAGGGCTTCCATGCTTCGAAACCCACAAGGAGCAGACAAAGAAAGAGAAAATATGTTTCTTAGATCAATACGTATGAAAACATGCTCTGAAGCTAGCACTGGCTCTGCAAGGTTTCGACCCGACTTGCCATACACCCTGCCAGTGGGATGATTGGAGAGATTGGGCGCAATGCACAGCTACATGTGGCGCTGGTGCCACCCGACAGCGTCAGAGGAATTATCGTCCCTCAGTCACACCAGGCAGGCTTCTCCAAGGGATGGTACGAGCCTTCAGCATGGATGTTTTGCAAAACTCGTACGTACGCCAGGTGTTCACTGCAGAGGTGTTGACAGAGATGAGCAAGATTGCCGCTTGGCACCATGTCCGACAACTTCAACCTCAACCACAATGACTCTCACCACCACTACTACAGCGACGACAACAACAACATTAACAACAACATCAACAACCATCATCACAGTCACCACCACGACAACAGAAACGGAAACAACTACGACGAAGACGTCGACCACAACCACTACAGCCACAACAACTGAAACTGTTACCAAGACAACCACAACAATCACTGGCACTTCCACGACGACAACAATTACACAGACAGAAACCACCACGACAGTCACAACAACGCCGACAACGACTACTGTGACAAGCACAGGAACGACAACAACTGCAACAGGAACAACAACCACAACCACACTTACGAAGACAGCCAGTATGGAGGCTCCACTTGCTGCTGGAAATTCAACGCAATTGGCTGGCCTGCCATTTAGTAATGCGTCAAATGCAACCTTGGACATGCTGGGCAACCAGCCAGTGGTGCGGAGTGTGGATAGCGTAGCTCCAGACTCGGACAAATCCACGACCATCACAGCCACAAGCACAACTACGACAGCTACGACAACAAGCACAACATCCACATCCACTGGAACAACCACGACTACAACGGGCACGAAGACGTCAACCACAGTGACCACAGGCACCGGCCCATCAACTAGCTCCCTGCCTGCGGCAGCTGCAGAACCGCCAGGATCTTCCAGTGCAGAAGCACTAAACAGCACTGCAGCATCTATGGAGATCCTAGACAAGCTGGGAGAAGCAGGTGTGCTCAACAAGTCAGAGGGCATCCCTTTGTCTCCAGTCAGTGGTGGCAAAAGGGGTAACAACACTGAAGCAGTCATTGAGACTATTGTCGGTGCATTGGAGCATCGCTTGAGTGCCAAGCCTGCTCCGGCTCCACCAGCTCCACCTTGCAATCTCAGCAAAGTGCTGAAGGAGCAAGCAGATCTGGAGGCAAAGGGAAAAGCAGAGCCGGCGAAGGCTCCAGGACAGCAGGTCACAACTCCACCCGCGAGCACCTCTGTTGAAATGCTGCGCTCGGGTGACATGCTGATCAAGCGCGGCAACGAGGTGGAGGTTGTGAAGGCGGAGAAGCCAAATGCCACAACATCTGACAGCACAACCAAGCCCTATCCTGCGCAGAGCATGCTCGAGACAAGGAGCGCATTGAGTGATATCCATCAGGTTCAGCCTTAGGGACTCAGCATTCCGAAGCGTCCGCCAGCCGCTGTGCAAAAGCTTGCCTTGTTTTGCACCATTGCTACAGATCCAATCCAGGACACCTCGCCGCCAATCGCAACACTGTGGAACCTTTGCTTGTCCGTTCTTTGGCTCAAGTGCGGGCCACCTCATCTAGCACAAGCGCGGATTTCAGAGGGAGAAAGAAGGCAGACCAATTTGAAACAGTTGAGGAAGCATGAGGCATATCTCCAGGCAGCGGTTGCAGTTTCCGAGACATATAAGTGCAGCTCCACCGCTGCTGGCCTGTCTCACGGACTGAGCATGGCGAGACAAATAGCCGAGCCGGCATGTTTATAAGGTGGTCTGTATGCGTGTGACAGGGTGAAGTTGTGTGGTGCTGCTGTGGTTTATGACTCTCCAAAGGTGATGCACTGACATGTGTTGACAGGCCAATTTTGGGCGACTTGTTGACAGCGTCTTTTTCACGACCTTTCTCCTCTTCATTAGCGGATTTGGCTTGTTCCTGCGGCCGCCACAGAAGTTTCTGGTAGCAAGCAATTATACCTATCGCTTCCACCCTGAGGTTAGGGGAATTGTACAAGAACGTGGTGCAGCAAGAGGCTTGGGCAGGAACAAAGCTCCTGTGGACGTTTTTGCGCTTCACCTGCAGGCCAAGAAACTTAGCAAGGTTGCCGGCATCGTCGCGAGGCATCTGAGCTCTGTGAGATGCCTACGCTAGTATGAAAAGACAGCTGCCGCAGGCTATTCCCATTTCCAGACAAGAAGTTTGAGCACGGGCCCTGTCAGAGAGTCGTATCAGCATCTGAGACTGAGCTTGAAAGCCAGCTGAGAATCTCAGGTTCAGCCTGACCCACGTGGTCGTCTTTTCGATTCTGATTGGCTTGCTCTGCATGCTGCACCATCCTGCGCAGGCCGTGGGAGTTGCGCGACTTTCTGAGAAGCCATGTCCAGTGTGCGTGGCAGGATATCATCCAGCATGATGCGGAGAGGGAGCAGAAGGCCTGACCGTCTTAGGATTCGTAGCAATAATAACAATAGTAATAGTAATAATGATGTTTGCGATGGAGTTTTCACCAATGGTCGCTTGCCAGCTCTGCGATGAGGACAAGAAGAGACGAGAAGACGCAGAGAAGAGGCGTCATTCCCCTTGTGCTAGACATGTAGACGGCTGCCAAATTCTGGTTCCTTGCGGGGTACTAAATTGGGGGCCGCGCCATGATGGGACCCAGAAAGGGGCCGCAATTTTGACAACCCCCCATACATAATCTTTGCCGCAATCTTTGCTTGATTGTTTGGCTGTCTGACGCAGGAAACGGAAGGAAGAGAAAAAATCTCAGGAGGACAAATGAGGAGGCTGCAAAAGTGAAAATTGAGGCGTACTTCATCGTGATTCATTCATTCATGATAGAATTTCTTGCAAGAATATCCAGTGCCTTATGATCCTAAAATATATGAGATTGATATGAGGTTTCCCAAAATTAGCGGTGCTTTTTAGGGGGTCCCTAGCAGAAGGATTGCAATAGTCGGGTCTATATTGGGCCCCCTAACTATCTAGGCCAAATTCCGTATGATGAAATTATTTAGTAATAGAACAAATCTGGAATATAGGATGTGGCCCAGGCATGGTTTTGGCTTTGGCATAGATCGAATCGGCTGGTTCTTTTTTCGTTCTTGGGATTTAAAATCTTCAGAAACTTTCCTAATTTTTAATAACCAGAGTGGACCCACTGCTTTCAGCAACGGAGTATCGTCGTTGGAATGTACTCGTAACGGCAAGCGAAAACATTGCGCGCAACTCCAAATCCTACGTCCTTATAACTTGACATCCCGAATCTTGAGTAAGCGTCGGTATTTTGAAGTTGAGGGCAATCAGGCTAGCAGCAATTGAGGGAACTACGCACTTGGGGGGATTGATATATCTAGCACTTGGGGGGTTGATATATCTATCATATGGCGCTTCCAAGAAACAAATGCCCATCTCGAGGCATTCTTGAAGGGGCGGCTTCAGAGAGATTGGAATCCAAAGATTTAGAAAGATGTTTCGGATTCTGATACTTTTTCCTAAATAATTTGATGCGATTTATTTCTCTATTTTATGCGTTTCTATATATATAAGGTGCTATAGACGCATGAAATTCGAACTTTAATTCGAATTCTGAATCGTGATATGGCTCTGTTGCCCTGGCAGATGTAGCTGGGACTCTATTTGATTAATATTTCGTGAATCACTGTATTATAATTTCGTATTTTATAGGAGATTATGCATAGGTTATTCGGCAAGCTGCGCTGCAACAGAGACACCTTATAGGTTCTGAAAGATCTTATCTCTCTATTTCGATTTTACGCAAACAAGCAAAGAGCAAAGAGAAAGAAATGATTCGAAATCTCTCTTGGGATAGCTGCTGCGGGGCGGATCGGAGGAATGCTTATATAAATATTTATGATGCGGTCAATTTATAAATTCTGAAAGAATTGGAATCTCTATCTCGGGTCTATACGTTCTGGTACCCGACTACATATATTAGTAACGAATCTATAGAATATCGCTCTGAGAGGATGATGATCGCGGACGACTAAAGAGAAAGAAATGATTCGAAATCTCGGCAGATTTTTATTCTTGCGGCCCAAGGTCTCAAACCCGGAATTTCTGGATTACTTATCTCTCTTGGGCTAATTACTGCGCGACGAATCGAGGGAATAGATGAGAAATATTATTATATTGGGCCTGTACGTTCTGCCGAATAATTGCACACGCATCCAAAGATAAAGATAAATCACGTGAAATATTGCTCTGAGATTTTTTAATATATATTATTCTATTGAGCACCTCTAAATCTCCGAGATTTTAGAATCCCTAGGGAGCTCCTAGGAGGCATTTTATAATGGAAACGGAAAAACTAGGTCGCACGCGGTCGAAAGGACCACAAATAGATACGTTATAATATTGAGGTTTTTTCTATTATTTGATAATATTAAAATTTTCTAGGATTGAAGATTTTGATATTTTTTTGAGGATCGTCGAATCTATATCTATTATATTCTCCTATCATTCTTATTATTGATGAATATTGAATATATATCTATTTATAATCATTTCTTTGATGAATTCTACTTGATCTAATTTTATATTTCTATTTGATTTTCTCTTTCTTTCTTTATTTTTAGATCAAATAGATTTGATATTAGGATGCGGTCATTTACTATTATTCCGTTATTTCGATCGCGTGACCTAGATTTTCCGGATCATTTTAAAAGATTCTCGAGATATTAAAAGATTTTCTAGAAATTCTAAAATCTCCGAAATCTTGAGATTCTTCGGAAGAAATAGAGATTCGAAAATCTTCGAATTTTTTGCATATGGCGCGTCTGCATATGACGCGATTAAATCTCCGTCTCGGCTGGTTGCGCGGCGGCTCGTCGTAGACTCTTTATCTCTCCTTGAATGACGGCGCGAGTATTCGGAGGAACGTATAGTTCCGGGATAGGAAATCAAAAATTTTCTCAATCATGCGTTCTCTCGAATCACTGCGTAGAGAAATAGATGAGACGGAAAATTCGGATTGGATATGGAGATCATGCGATCAAAAATTGCGTGATTCAAATTCTTATAAGATTTATTTTTTTCTCTCTCTCTTTCATTATCTGCACGATATTTTCGGAATATATGAAGATTCGAGATAGATATCTAAAATCTTTCAGAATCTATATATCATTATCGATTTAAAAATATTGATATTTCATTGGGTTATACGCACGCTCTGAAAAAAATTTGGATCATTAGATTTATCACTATAGATTTTCTCAAATAAATATTTCTTGCTATTATAGGCAACAGATCATTTCTCGAATTCCTATTAAATTCGTATAATCTCTTCTTCAATATGATATTTTCATTTCTGCTTTGCTATCGATTTTCAATAGAATTCTGAGAAGATATTTGAATTTAGAAGATTAGGGAATTTCCAAGAGACCTAATCTCGAGATTATGAATTAGATTTGAATCGATTTCATTGAATTAGATAGAATCATGAAAGAATTAATCACGAAATATCTATATGATTTTTCAATAAATATTCGATATTTCATCTATCTTTATCTCGTATATAGAGGAATGATCTATAAAAGAAAGATATAATCTTTCTTTTGGAATCTTATTCTGAATTGAATCTTTTATTTGGGAATTATAGGATATGATGATATATTCAAAAAAAGATCGGAGACGATAGATGAATATTAGGATTAGGAATATCTCGAGGGAGAGATCTCATTCTATTGATTCTATCTTTCTTATTATCGATATCTATCTTCTATATATCTATGAGATATTGGATACTTAGATCAACGACGGATTTCAAAATATATATATATATTTCATAGATCTTTCGTCGTGAATATTTCTTGATCTTATTTTATCATCATCATCTACGAGATCTGAGATGATTTTCTATTCCTTCAGAATCTATTTTATAGATAAGAAATATTGGATTCTTGTTATAATCATTTTCGATCATTTTTCTCTAATAGAAAATCTTCTCTTCTAATATGAAATTCTGAAATTGACCCATATATTCATTTCTTCGAATAAATATATATATAATTTCTTCTATATAATAATTTTAAAATCAAAATCATATCATTTTAGACAAAATTTATTTCATTCTAAAAATATGATTATTTTAGAGAAGACGAATTGATCTTCTCGGCATCTTCCCTGGAATAGATTTTTCTGAATATTTAGCTGAAATTTAAGGTCATTAAAATCTTATGAATAGATTATATCAATTTACGGAGAACTATGAAATCAAGATTAGAGATATCTATGAGATCGATTTCTCAAATCCGCAAGAATTGAAAGATTTCAGAATCTAATCTATAATCCGAAAGATTTGAAAATATCGTAAATTCTTGATTTCCTATAGAATCCGAAAAATTTCATTTAATCTTATTATAATATTATATTAGAAATAGATAGATATAGATAAATATAGATGAGAAGATATTTCTTCCCTCCTATATTTCATAATTGCGGATGAAAAGATTATAATATCTAATATATTCATTCTTCATATTGAGATACGCTGATTTTTATCTCATAAAAAAATAAAATAATCTCAATAATTGATGTTATCTCTCTTTGATAGAATTTTTTTGATTATCTTAATGATTTCCGAGAGATAGATTTTTCAATGAAAATATAATTAAAATTTCTATTTATTTCAGAAGATCTTCTTCTCTTATAGAAATATCATATTGGATTTATTTCAGATTGAAAAGAGATCAGAAATTTTGATTTTTTCATCTTTTATGATTATTATATTACTTCGAATAAATCAATAAAAAAAATAAAATCTCGAATCAAATCCTCGTTATTCGTCATAATACGTCCTTAATTCATCTCTTTCAGAATCAATATTCAAATTCTCAATTCCTAAATTTCTATGTGCCTCATTTTCGATTTATAAATCTATTAGAAATCCTCAAATAGAAATACGAAAAAATCAATATCTTGACGATTTATATCTATAAATCCATGATTTGATCTATAAAATTTCTCTATATAGAAAAATAGAGAATTAATAATTCCGAATTAGATATTTATCAATATATAAGATAAAATTATTTCATTATCTAGATTTTCGATAGAATCAAATCTCTATTATTATGATTAAATCAATTATCTCTTCTCGATAATAAAGAATATTGATAAATAATATGAAGATAAAATAAGATCTAGATTTAGAATGAGAATAGATATAAATATGAAATAGATAACTGTTAATGAAATAGAATCAATAAAAATAATCATTGAGATATATTCTCGATATAGAAATCATTCTTTCATAAAAATTGATGAATAATATATTAATCATATATCAGATAAAGAAAATCGGAAATTTCTTTTTCGAATTCTATATATTTCTTTTAAATATCTCAGGAATATTAGAGAGGACCCATCGATAGAGACCCGCCGATTCTATCGACGGATGCACATCAATATAGGACCAATCTATCAGAGATTATTATATATTGATTCGATGCAAATGATATTTTATTTATGATTTTGATTTGCAAGATCGTATCGAAAATTCTATTAATCCCTATATATAAATATCATCTAGATATTCTCCGATATCTATCGCATCCGAGACCCGTCCTTCCCCGCCTCGATCGCCCTCGCCACTGCCGCTACAACCGCTGCCGCAATAGCTACCACGCCGCCTTCTCGCCTCCCCCACCATTTTTTTATATATTCACGCAAACGGATGACTAGCAGATTATTTCTATAGAAGATATGATAAATATATTAAATCTCATTACGTATTGCCTCGATCTAAATATCATATTATTTATGATCTTGAATCGTATCGAAAATAAATTGATCTTTTCTATATATATCTTCAATATCATCTTACGATTTCCTCATATGATCATCGCCTATCATTTTTGTCGCCTCCAACATTTCAATTTCCAATATTTCTATCATCAATATCCGCGTGCACTGCCATTGCCGCCCCGCTACCTTCGCACTCGCAATTACCAACCTTTAGGATCCCGCGCAATTCAAACGATATACTAATTATGATTTGATTCGATAGATCATATCGAAGATCTGGTGATCTTCTCTATATATAATCCCCTACTGACCTCCGCGTCCTCGTCATATCATTGCCGCCCAATCTCCTATCATCAATATGAACGACCGTCGACTAGGGCCGCCCGCCCCGTCGCCGCCATTGCCAAGACCGCTACCACTGCCGCGACGCAAATTTTTCGTGAATTTATATATATTCACGACTAGTCAAATCACGGTAAGCTAGCAAATATATGATTAGCTAGTAGATTATTTCTCTAGACATTACGACGATTCCATATTTATAAGAAAGCGATTTTCTAAAATATCGATTTTTATTTAGAAAAAATTATCTCCGATTATTTTTCAAAAAAAAAAAAAGAATTTTCAAACATACACAAATTCGTATTTTCGAAATTCACGATATTCCAAAGATTATAATCGAAATCTCAAGAATAAATAGATTTCATCATAAGAAGAATATAAATAAAATCGTGAATTCCAAAGAAAACCCGATCAAATAAATATATAAATTCCTAAAAATTTTCTTGAAATATAGATTCGTTTAAAGAAAAATACATCATATTTCGAAATTTTCAAATACATCAAAATAAATATGTCATAAATAGAACATATTATTTATATCATTAGAATTTTCAATCATTCAAATATTTTTTTCTCAAAGAAATTATGAAATCATTCTTTCATTCTTTTTTAAATAATTACCAAATCTTTTTTTCTCCGAGAAATCCGATGAATAAATAATATTCTCTTCAAATCCTTTATATCAATAGAATATATATATTTATAGCGAATCTTAAGAATTTTGAATCTTAGAATCTTCGCAATTCTTAAATCCCCTATAATTATCGCCTATATAAAAATCTATGAATATATCAATATTTTCTTTTAAAAATCTATCCTACAATTATATAGATATAATTTTCTCCTATATAGAATTTCAATGATCTTATATTCCTCCTAAATCTAAAATTATCTTCATCTTTTTTGAATAACCAAATTCTATCTAAGAGAAATCATAAATCTAAAGATTTCAAAGCTCTAAAAGATTCAATATTCAAAATTTTCTAATTTCTGAATAACATCTTATTATAGATATCGATATCATCAATATCCAAATAAAATGAATATAAATCCAAAAAAATGAAAACAAAATATGAATCAAAAAGAGATAAATGAAGATAAATAATTAAGAAAATATGTAAATAGATATGCTTAATATATAGAAATCGAAATAGATAAGAAGACCAAATCTCTTAAATATTCGTTAGGGCCTTGCCCCCACGAATTCTAAACTCAAAGATAGATGATGCGGATCCTGCATTTCTCAAGAATTCAAATTCTCGAACTTGGCAAATTCCCGAAATTCACAAATTCTCAAATGAGGATCCTCAACAATAGAATTTTGATATTAGGCTCCAGAAGACCAAGATCACGAGAATGAGGGTTATGCGGACGGATCTGCGCCAGAGCCAAATAAGGAACCTAGCCCGTATCCTTTTATGTAAGTGTAATAGTAATTTCTAAGCAAACTCAACTCCTCATACATTTTTTTTTGTTTGTTTGGGTTTTTTGTTTTTTTTTGGATTTCTTATCTAGAAAGGATTTTGATTTCATTGTCGTACTAATTTTGGAAGGTGGCTTTCAGTCATACCCTTGTAATAAAGAATGACTGATTATTTGGAAATGTGTCTGTTTTTGGAATGCCAAAAAATCGGGTCCATAGATTTGAATACGGTCTTTGACCATTCGACTTCTGCGTCATGAGATCCTGTTGAGATATACGAGTCATTGCAATCAATTTTGGCACCCCTTTTTGATTTTTTCTTGTTGCTGTCCAGCGAGCCTCCGAGGCTAGTCGCTGAAGAAATCGTCGACATAGGGAAAGGGCTGATCCTGGGATGATTTAGTGTCGAAGTTGAGGGTAAGGCTTCAACAGAAGGTGATCGATCAATGATGGAGGCTCCTAGCTGCGCGTGTTGCAGCATGCTTTCGAAGCTTCTCTCCTTTTTAGCCTGTCGTCTTTAAGAGATGTTGCACCTGTACCGGTGGCAAGGTGCCTCTGCCACCCAGCATGAACATATAAGACCCCTTCTTGTAACCCTAAACCAAGCATCTGGTATGGGCTGCCCCAGAAAGTGAGACAAGGGTGCCCAGCCGTTGGAAAAGTCCAAAAGCAGCAGCCGATGCGGCGGAATTGTAGCCTTCGAGATTAAAATAGTTGCGATGCTTGGGACATCTTCGCACATTGTCCGCACTTGGTACTTCATTCTGATGGAATTCCCCTGGTGCTTGTGAGATATCTCATGAAAACAAGATAATGAAGTTGGCATCAGAGTTGATCAGAAATGCATCCTTGTGTGCTCGCACAACTCCTCAAGCCTGTTGACACATGGAAACAATGATCAGGTCTTCAAAGTCTTTCTGCTCTAGTAGCCTTGCAGCCATCCCGCAGCACTTGGACCATCTACTGGAAAGATGGAGCGCTGCATCGGTACATCATTTGAAAAAACAGAAGCATGAACCCACAGCCTTTCACCCTGTAAGGAAAGCTTTGGCTGCACATTTCGGAAAGCGGTCCCTGTTTTGCGCCCGAAGCTGAGGTGGAAGTGCCCTTTGCTTGTGTCTTGAACAAGGAGGATTAAAGGGGTTCAGAAAATGGAAACTACTATAGTATATCAGAATCTACAGTAAATTTCTTGCAGGTCGCAAAATTCTGAAATCGCCCTGCCCCACTCTCGCCTTCACCTTCTCCACGTGTTCTCGGTATGAAGCTACGCAGCGGTCACGGTTGGGCTTCCCAGTGGCATTCCTGTAGGACTTTGGGAGGCGTGCGTTTGGGTCTGGACTTTTGAAGGTGTCCAGGGAACGTGAGTCGTAGACTGAAGAACTTGAAGCGAATTGACGCAGTGGTTACATTGATCCAAACGATCAGTTGTGCTTAATTGGAATGTCGCTGCGCTGAAGCTATGGTATGCCGTCTGGGGCGTTTCTGCTCAATGTCAAGAGTTTGGACCGCGAGTTAGGTCTCAACTGTTGGGATCTGAAGCCGTGGCTGGAAGCTGTGCTGTAAGTTTTTTCTGCTTTTTTTTTGGTGCTCAAAGCATCTCATTGCTGCCAGCCTGTGTCTTCTTCATGGAAACCTTGCTCTGCTCATCCTGCATGTAACTAAATGCTTCTTGAAGGCATCCAGTACATCTGCTGTTAGATCAAGCAGTGCCAGAGTTGCCATGAAGAGTCGGCCTGCTTTGATTTTACATGAGCCGGGATTCTCTGCTAGATGTAGGGTATATTAAGTGGAAGTACAGGTGCCAACTTTTCCTCCACTTTTCTAAGTGAATGATGTGGGTCGTAGTAATCCTCTGCAAAACTAAGAGAGGATACCATGAAGGTGTTGAGGTTCGAATGGGACCTCAGAGCATGAAAGCCCACTGCTAGTACGAAACGATCCAAGGGATGCTTTCTTGTAATGATGCGAAACCCCAAGTACAGAATGCTCTGCTAAGGCGCAAGAAATCGCAGCCCCAGTTGACGCAACCGCTGCAGGTCCTGGGCGCAGAACCTATCTGGACTAGTAGCAAACAAACCTGTAGATTTGCCGGGCCTCATGAAAGCCAGGCCATGGACAGTCCAGCACTGTTTTAGGCTAAGAAACATGAACGTTCTGATGGCCCTGGCCGTATTAGCTCAAGATGCTGAGCCACGAAAATGGTGATTCGATAGCGCAGCTTGCGCTAAATCTTCACATCTTGGGTGCCAGTACACTGTCCGCCTCTCTTCCCTTTTCGCTTGCGGCCAAGCTTAACCCAGATGTGAAGGCCAACCGCTACTGGCCCGCAACTCTGCTTTCTGGAGCTTGGATGCAGAAATTGCCCCTTTGCCTTTGTCAGAATTCTTGCATCATGTCCCCACAACAGCAGACAGATCCGTACTGGCTACAGTCGGGTCCTCATAGAGGGAACTCGGAGGGTCATGGCTGCCAAGAAATCGAAGCCCGAGAGCCCGTCGTGCCCGGAAGTGGCCTTGAGAATCCGAGCAGGACTGACTTTATTCCTTCACTGCTACCACGCTCACCACTACCTCCACCGAAGGAACGACTGGTCCACAAAAACTGTGTCCCTTTGAGTTCAGTACTGCGAATGCAGTTGCAGTTTGTCCTTCAGCCATCATGGCAACGGCTATCTTTGAAGTCATCAGTCTCGGTCTGAGTATGCCCAAAAGGATGTCTAGTCGGGCCGACAATCCTTAACACAGGCTCCCAGGAAACAACTCCTAACATTGGGAAGCCTTCAGCTTGCTATTCGGGTGGCCTCTTCAAGGTCCGCGCGGAGGTCTCTACCTGCGGCTACGACGTTGTCCTGAAGCTCAGGGCCCAAGCTGTGTGAGGGATTCGAGGGAATGAGCTCTTGCATTTATCCAGAGCAACTCCTCTTTTGACTCGACTACAGCAAGAAATCCTTGCAAATGTCGGCACTCAAATGACCCTTGATTCTATGAACTGCACCTGCGCGGCAGGTGCTCCAGAGTTCTGACACGGGTTTCCTTGACATTCCTTGACACCTTCGAGATCCCTCCCCAGGATAGAAATCAATACAATCAGGGCTCCAGGGTTGGGGTCGAGTCAAGCGGCCGCCGGAAAGGAGTGGACCGGCATTCACAAGTGTATGCTTGCCGACCATTTTCCCTGCACTCTTAACAAAAGGGTAATGGATGCCTTCGGCCCCGAAAGTTGATATGCTGAGCTGGAAAGGATTCGACACAAGAAGTACCGAGAATGCGACACCCTAACAACCCACACCAGACATGGTGAGCCAGAAGCCGGCAGCCTCAAATCCGAAATAACTTTAAATACAGAAGACTTATAGGGAAGTAGATTCCATGCTCCACTGATCGGCGCTTGATGCTCTCAAACCCAGAGCCTAGCAGAGCACATGGTAGGCTCCTAAAGCTCCGAAAAGGAAGACTCCGAACTAGAAATCTTAAAGCCAAAGCTTTAGAAAGGGTATGAACGGTATGGTGACTTAGCCACACAAGAAACAAATAAGAATGGCATAAACTCCTCAACGCAATACTGCAACCTGCAGCCATCAGCCTCCGTTTTTGCCCAAACCACAGCGATCGTGTGTATGTACGAGACCGTGAACCCCACACCACGCGAAACGCAAAAATAACCTAGACCTTAATCCAAAAGAAGGATTCAGCTTCAAGCATTAATCCTGCATCCCTGAAACTGAAGACCTCCAACCTCCTCAACCGAATTTATGGCTGACGATTGAAACGCTGGTGGCTCTACTTTCCATCTGATTTTCCGTTTGCTTTTGTATTTGATTCTTCTTTGTTGGGGGGTAAGATCCCTAAATCCTAAGCCCTAAACCCTAGCCAGGGGGGGGTGGCTGACGGCAGGAGGTCCACAAGCCGGCGGCTGGCGAGGGCCGCAAACATGAATGCCACATATCTTTGAGCATTTTCACAGGCGTGTGCCCACAGCTGCTTATATGAGGAGGAGGCTTGCCGTCAAAAGCTGGGGCCATGCAACCACATTTACAAGTCTGAATCCCAACCATTTCGAGCGTCATTGTACGTTTTGGAATACTTGTAAGGGAAAGGAGGTACTAGTATGAACGATTGCCACAGGCCCAACTGTTTGCCCTCAATGCTTACTGTCTGCCCACTGCAGCCAGGGCAACATACCAGGCATCTGCATCCTTCATAGGCAGCACAAACTTGGCGTCAGGGAAAGCCTGCATGACCTAACAGGGGTCCCAATGAGGTGCAGGCCAAACGTGTGTTCTTTGGAGCTTTCACTGGGTCTCTGGGCTCCTGTTTTATTTGAGGGGTATCCACACTGATGGAACACAATGCAAGGAATCACGGGACCAATTCTGATTTCACTTCTTGATTCCTTACGAATAGTTTTGCTCAGTAGCGGCAAGAGATGCATGAGATTGAAGAGGCTCGTGTGTGTCGGGGTCCCAAACCTGAGCGGTTCACAAGTTTGCTACGAAAATAGAGCGTAGCGTGCCTGACCCACTAGTTGACCATGCTAGAAGTCATCAAAGTGTCTTCGAGCATGTGTCAAGCTTGCCCTCAAAATGTCTGAAACCATCAAATGCTGCAACCGCACCTCCCTGTAAACAAGGTGGAAAGGTTCGTCCATGGCAGCGTCATACCTGGGTGGCTAGGGTCCTACAGACTGTCGCCCATGGACATCAACAATTTGGGTTGGGGGTAGGCCTTTCAAGGAATTAAAGCTTGCTTCGCTTGATGCTGTGAGGCCAGGGTCGCTGGACGAGGGTGCAAAAGCCCGTGGATACCAAGAAGCTAAACTCCTTTCGACGTCCCTCTAAGATTTCATCTACATCCACCTGATCGGTTTTGTATTTGTTCAACAAATTTGCCAGAGCAGATGACAGTTTCCCTGGTCAAGACCTATTTAATTTTTCTGCCACCATCAGATCAAACCCCCCTACGTACACCTCTTGCGGCTTTGAGGCCCATCTAAGGAGCGAAGAGCTGATTCGAGTGGGCCGTCTGGACAAGGACGAGGGGGCTCTGGGCTTAGAGGCTGAGACCGAGCTCCCGGTAAGGACGACTTCCGGAACTAACCTGCTGAACATTATCTGAGTGTATGTATATCCTGAATATTCAAATGGCTTGTCGGTTCTTGTTCTGCGAGCTTGCCAAGGCTTCCGAGCAATTTGTACCAGCCACATGCAGGCTAGCTTCCTAACAAATCTGAGTACACTGGCTAAGAAATATGTATGCTACTGGTAGGACACCCAACTCTCACTTCTTATGCTCTGGCGCTTCTACTCTCTGTGTGCAGTCCCTACTTCCCACGAAGGCCTCCGAAGAGGTAGTTGCACCAAGGGATTCGCGCCGTGTAGTTGTAGCTGGTGTGTAGCGTCCGGAAGCCGTATGCTTCTAAGGCGACCTTCAGCCTCGAGATTCCGACTCAAGGGTAATTTCTACATGCGTCGTATGGATATATTCTTCGTAGATAAGAATGGAAAGACTCAAGGTTGTCAACAGTCTGATAGATAGACGCGCCACACACCTCTGCAATCCTTGCATACGACGTCACACGTTTGCATCTCCAAGCGCGACATGTACCTGCTAACCATGCCATGTGTCGTTTGCGTTCCTGTCCGCGGGGGTCCTACATCCAGCACCTGGAAGGCTGCAACAGCGCTGAAGGTTGCAGCAAGGACAGTGCCCTGACGGGAGCTACTACGCAGTGCAGAGACCATGGCTGTAGCAAGCAGCTGCTAAGCTCATGGGGATTTGTAAAGGCATGTACATTGAAGCCATGACAAACGGAATGAATCAGGAGTTCTTGTTGCTGCGTTACCACGGCTTAGCAGGTGTGGGGTTTTCACGGGGCAGTGACTTGATGGCTGAGGGTTCGTATGTCAGGAGTCCTGGGATCGCATTGGATCTCCGGGCTGAACATGCCAAACTCGGTTGCTCAGACATGTGGAGTGGGATTTGCAGCCTGTCGGGATCTTATCTCCGGTTCGGTTCATGTAGTGTAGGGTCAGCTGTTGAGAGAAGCAAGCGCCGATAAGGAGAACTGCATGGACCTTCCTCTCAGCAAGGAGCTTTGGTCCGGGTAAGTCGCAACTCGCGTGCTAACGGGCTATTTCCTATCATGATACGCAATGGCGACCAAAACTTGAAGAACAAGCTAACCTGTCGGTATCACAAAGGGACTTGGTCAACGTGGAAGTCAACAAGAAACTGGGAAACCGAATCCTTTTGTTGCCAGCGCGGCTGTCAAATCCCAACTGTTGTCTGCTACGGGTTGGGGCTGCAGGCAAGCGAAGTCGACGACTTCGTCTGTCAAAACTTGGTGCCAAGCACCCAGGCGTCTCTTCTTGCCGAGGCAAACTGTTGCCGCGAGTCGCAACTGTACCCCTGGCTCTGGGCGTGACGCTAATTCCCAGTCATGGAAAATGGCAGCTGCACAGCAAAGGTCCTAGCGCCGCGCGGGCACAGAGTGACCTTGTCGAGCACAGCCGAGACATGGCAGGACCCAGAGAAAGACCGGCCTGAGTTATGGGGCATCGCCTTTCAAGATCCATGCATTGGCCATGAGGGCTGTTACTGCTTTCTTGAAAGCTGTGTCAGTCTAAAGCCTTGGGTTGGAGGCTCTGAATGGCTTTGATACTGCAGCCGTCGATGAATGATGCAGGTTGAGCCGATGAGCCTTCGCGGGGGCCAGAGTTTCAATGCCATGGCCAGGCAACTCAACTTCATCGATGCCAAAAACCTGCGAGGCTGGCAGTTCATGCTGTAAAACAACACCCAACAACCTGCCAACTTACAGGGCAAAGTACATCTGGCATTTGATGAGGGCATCGCGGCGCTCTGGACCAGGATCTTTGCAAGACTATGTAGCTCGCCCGCCCGTGCTGACTTTGAGCCTGTAGCTCGGAGCTTACAACCTCTACTCCTCGGTAACTACATCGGCCAGCCGAGGTAGATGACTAGGGCCTGCCGAGAATGGTGCAGGTCTTTCAAAGATGTAGGACTGTGTCAAAATGAAGGCTTGCAGGGAACAAACAGAGAGCCCCGCCTTTGCAGAATCAAGACTGTGGCGAAGCAGCACATTGAGGGAAATCTAGAGTGAATTGTAGCATAGGAACCGGACTATGGTTCCGGGTGGGTACTCAAGATGCAGGGAACTTGACTCTGGTCTTAGGCATGCTACTAGCTTGATGGCCATTGCAGGTAGTTCAAAGTGTAGATCAGGCAACATCTGCGGTCAAGACGAGCTCAGAAACCAGCGGCACTTACCGTGTGCATGTCCTTCAACCGTGGCCAGAACTTGGGTCATGAGGCATTCATTTCTACGCGTGCTGGGGTGAAGTACCCACTATGTATTTCCGACCGTTGTCGCTTGGGGTTCCTTGGTTTTGGCATTTGCCGTGCTGCATCATGCAGGATCACGCCTAGGAGTCGGCAATATCCCACTTGCCACTGTTGGGGCTTTGAGCCGCGCCCGTTAGGAGCTTCAAGCCAACTATATTTGAAGCAACGCAAACAGGAAGGGGCTCCAAGCATGAAAATGTAGCCTCTCTGCCATGTTGCAAAGGTCCTCTGTTCGTTCAGGAACGCGGAACACGTTTCCGGACGTGCCCACGAACAATGAATCGAGTGGTTGTGGACGTGTGTCCCTTGCATGCCTCCTGGGTCCCGCAAGGGTGCCCAATCATAAAGCTGGAAGATAGCAGCTCTAAACCATGGTTGGGCATCTAGGCTGGGACCTTCCACAGGCGTCGACGAGTCGAGCCTGCTTCTCGGAAACTAAGGGATGCGTGGGCAAATCTGCTTTGCTGGCTGCAGCCCTGCGGACAGCATGCCAGCTGCAGCGTGCTGCTGCCAACCTTTACGTGGAGGGCCATGTGCCAGCCGAGCCTGTCTGAAAAAGCCCCACCCGTGCTAGCAGACACCGTGCACCATCAGCGTGCTGTAGCTCGTCATGCAATTGGTCATGTTGCTCGGGATTTGGGAAGGCAGCATGACGGGGATTTCGTATGGAGCGCTTCCGGATTCACATGCTGAGTTGAACATCAAGGAAACAGCTAATAAGGTCAACCGGTGCCTCAGACGCATGTCTTTGCATGGGGGAATGGCCAGTTCAGCAACAGGCGCTGTGGCTTCGAGGGTGCACTTTGCGTGCAGGCCCAGGTAGCCTGCACTGTCCGGTTGGTGTTGCTGCCATCTTTTGGCACCTCTTCGCCGTTTTGCTTACAGCTTTAGAGATGCGGTTTCAGGAAGCCTGGGCTTAGAGGTTGCGTGAGCTTGGCAGAATGGCAGTTTTCCATTGAGACCGCGGGCAGGCTCCTTTCTGGCACGGCCAAGTCTTTGTGATAGCACACGTGCTTCACTTGACCGAGAGCGGACCTGCATGTTGCACGGCAAGTCAGCAGAAGCATGTCCCCACGCCCCTAGGTTAAAAGACCTCTCTTTGCAAAACGTGTTGCAGCATGCGAAGCCCCACGCACATCTACTTGAACACTGCTACAGGTGAGGGGTATATTTTCCCCAGGCTGCTGTGTTGTTGTACTAGTAGCTGCCATGTCTGGGGACACGCTAGCAGCTAGCAAAGCAGCGGGAGTGGAAGCCTGACGACCACTGTGATAGTGGGTCGAGGCAAAGAAAGGCAAGGACTGGCAAACGGTACTGCGACTGCTGCCAGTTTCCCAGCGTGCTCGACCCGCAGAAGAGATATCCCCAATGACTTTAACCTTTGAGTATCTACGGGAACCTTTTGCCACGCAAGAAGGCTCACAGCCTTCCAGCAACAGGAACCTGGAGTTCTAGTTGCTTCCAGACGGCATAGCCATGCTCTCGCCCCTCAAGCTACAATCAATTATCCAGCATGCTGGGTGTTACTCCTTGCACCCACGGAGCTCTAGACTCCAATTGCTGTATGCCCCAGCCGGTGCAAAGTGGCAAAGCTTTCGATTCAGGATTTTGCTGATATTGCACGCAGGCTTGAAGACCTCAGCTCTGGTGCGCGCCTTGGGTGCTGCCCTGCAACCCAGCTTTGCAGATCTGCACAGGACAGGAAAGAATGACGAAGACGGGCAGCATACAGACCCGAGGCTTGACCAGGGGTTACACGGCATCAAGCGAGCTGGTGCTGAAGCAACCTGGCATGGCGGGCTGGCCACTGATCTCCAGACAACCTGCAAGGCCTTCATGAACGATAAGCTGATGCCGCTTACTCAACAGTCTGGCTAGGTCGGGGAATTATGGCTGCACCCAAAGTCCTCACCAACAACTGCGGCGTGCGGCCTTTAGGCTGGGGCTGCGCGCTGCTGCTCATCGGTTCACTTTGAGCGCTCCCATGACAAGAGCGGCAACAAGACAGTGGCAGGCAGGGATTTGGAATAGTTCAGCCACCGGGAAACCTTAAAGCCTGAGGCTGGCTCCACAGCGTCATGTCGACTCACAAGTCCTTGCTGTGCCTTTCTTTGCATGGCTGGTAGGGTAGACCTTTGTCCTTGTGCAGTGTGACGCCCCATTGGACACAGCCCATAGAGCCAGGCTCCCACAGCCCAAGCACTCACGGCCCAGCAGTCCAAGTCCTGCAGGGGCGAAATGCCCGTCTGTTTCAGATCAGGGATCGCGTGCGGCTAGCTGCCTTGACAAGCGACATGCTGTGGCAACATGGGCTTGGCTTCATTAAGACAAGCACTTGACAAGTGCCGGCTAGCTTCGTGCTCAAGTTCTCTAGAGCTCGAGCGCGGTTTGGCGCAATTGGCACGCTGAATGATTGAGGCTTCGATCCAGGGTGCTTCTCAGATAAAGCCTGCAGCCATCGTGCATAATTCGACTGTCGGTTGGCAACGCTCAGGCACCAGACGGCGCATTTGCATCAAAACAGGAAAGAAGGAGCGATACATAGAGCACACGGGTCCAGGGTTCGACCAGGGGCCACAAAGCATTAGGAAAGCTGGGTTCGGGCTGCAGGATGCTGCAAACGCACTTGGCCAGAAAGGTATGCAGGGGCTTGTCGTGTCGGTTGCCCTCTGTATGATCCCGAAAACGGAAGTTAGGTAAGGCTCGAGGTGGGGTCGGAGGTGCAATGCACAGGAAACCATAGGCTTCTTTAGAGTTCTCAAGCGCAAGACAGGTGCGGTGGGGGGATGTGACAGCAGCAAATGCTACATTGCCAAAGCCATTCTGAATGGCTTGTAGGCATTGCCTCCAGAACACAGAACACAGACTCTTCTGAAAGCATGCCAAGTGGACCGCAGACAAGAATGCCCTTTACAGGTACCAGTGCACCTTCCTGAAAAAGGTGCAGCGCCAAACGCAGGACGAGCAGTCTGAGCTTGCACGGATTCAACATGGGAAATCTAGTGTCCCTCTTATCTATCCAGGAATTTAACGACCCAGCCTGGCGTACCTGCTCGTGGCTTCGGACGGCCCGAGTATCTTTGCAATGCAACTCGCCTTGGGAGTCAAGGTTGGAACAGGAGGAGCAGGCTCTGACCTCAACAGCACCAGACTGGCTGGCAAATCTTAGGTTTCAGAGCCTGAGCTTCGAATCCTAAGCGACGTGGTATGCAATATCGTCGATTCCATATCCGAATTGCCATGCTTGAGGCTATTGTTGACATCAGGCTGAATCTGGCACTGGAGGCACTTGGTGAATCATGTTGTTGCTGCTTCCGAGCCTGCTCGCTTCCTTCTCTTGCAAGCCGTGGGATCTTGAGTATAAGGGCCGATCAACGAAGTGAATCCACCGTGTCTGGATCTTTTGCATCCTCAAGGACATCTCATTCTCATGGGTGCTTCTCTGAAAGCGCGCCCGTCAAAAAGATTTCTCAAGAAAAAAAGTCTTTCTGATGAGACCTGCATATGGGAGATTTGAATTATGATTTTTATCGTTTCCATGCTGACAGCTGACTGCCATCGCAGGAGCCGCCACATGGCCTGTAGTTGTAGAAGCCATCAACTTCTCATAGTAAGCAAAACAAGAAATCGGACCTGCATGTGAATCCTATGTATTGCTCAGCCCCAAATGTCTCAGGCCTCCAAGAAACCTGGGGAAACAATAGCATTGGATCTTAACCCTAATTCGGAATTCATAGCAGCTGTGCTGGCTGCACCTCCAAATGTTCAATAGATCTGGGGCATTTTGGCGCAATGGCATGGGGGGAGCAGGACCTCAGAAACAGGTCTCAGACGCATCCTAAACGCCGTGCATGTACATATGCGTGGCTGGCTTGCAGAATCCCAGAGGCTCTTGGCTTATTCAAGCAACAAGGGACTAGGGCAGCCATGACCTGGCGGCATGTTCAAAATGCGAAGCCAGTGCAGCAAGCAGCCTTTCCCGCCTATGCTGTTTACTTTTGGACATTCCCGGGCAACTTCACGTGCTCTCTGCGGTGGAACCCAACCCACGCAAACTGCCAGGCCGAGAGTTGAAGGACTAAGGCAGAGGCTTAACTTGGAGGGGCAGGACTTAGAGGCCCGGGGTTTAGCGTGGAGCCAACAATACGAGTTCCACATCATCGCTTGTCATATCGGAGGCAGGGGTTGAAAATGCTGAGCCCCAAAAGCTTCTAAAGTGCTTTCCTCAACAACGGATCCTGTCTTGCATCCAGAGGAAGGAGAACGTTTGGTACGCAAAGCTAATTCAAAGTGGTGACTGCCTCCAACTTGTGGCACGCGCTGTAGGATTGGAGTTTGGTTGGCTGAGGATCTGGTCATAATGCCGCATCCCAGCAATCGTCTAAGCATTGGCTAGTTCCACCAGGTCTCGCAGAGCAATGCTGAGATGGTCGTTTGCACTTTGCTGATGGCAAGAAAGCGAAGGTAAGTTGAATGTTGCCCTGCGATTTGAGCTTCAAGCTCCTGAGGCCTGCAAGCTGAGAGTGAGGGTGTGAGCTCTCAGCTCTCGCTCAAGCATCTCATGCGAGCATGACTGCAATAGTGGCAGCTTTAGAACTGTATGGTGAGCCGGCCGTGCAAGGGCTGAGAACTGCTTTTACCACCAAATGTTTCAAGATTATCTGTGTGCGTTTTCCTTGAATCTTCATGCCTTTGGGATCTTGGTCGGTCAACTCAGGATTGCTTGGGGACAGCATGCTGAAGGATATTGCCATGTCCCACATTGGGCAGCTCGCGGCCTTAGGACAACGCTGCTCTGCACAAGCAGGGACAATGCCAGCAGCAAGACGGGAATCTCTATGCTACACTGAGGCACATTAGGCAGCAGCCTGCAAGGACTTGCCGCGCATGCATGTGAACTTGCTGCTGGTGTCCGGCGTATTGGCCTTGTCAGTGCTCTCAGGCCTACTGGCTTCTGTGCGATTATGCCAGGAGTTGCCTCATGCATTTGTGCCCACACTCCAGTTTCCTGTCAAAGCCCAGGACACCTCTGAACGGATAGCACGCAAGTGGAGGGAAGACCACTCCGCATGCAGAAAGGTCTAGCACTGTTCTTGGCAGGAGCCGTCCAAACTGCCCAACAGCTAAAGAGGAGCACAAGTCCACGTCAATGTCTGCCGTCTGCATCCCAGCAACTACAGCTTGCATGACAAGTTGAAGGCGTACCTTTGGAAAGGCTTCGGTCAGGCAAAGGAACTGAAGCCCAGCAAAGTCAGGATCGCAATGGCTCTGCTGGTTTGGGCAATTGTCTTCATTACACCGCAAACGCTTGGGAACTTCACGAACGCCTGCTCTGAGACGCCCTGACATGATGATACTGGCACGAGAAACGGAAACCTCCAAGGCCCGCGTGCGATATGTAAGGCTTCAGAATCCAGACGTCTGCGCAGCTCTGATCCTCTTCCGCCAATCTTACTGCTGGGTCAGTAAGTGAACATGTACTGGGCAATTTTGCAAGGGCGTCTTTTCATGAAAGGCCAGGTGCTGCAAGGGAATGGTCATGACGTGGAAATTTGTCACAATCATGTTCTGCGAGCACTGTGATAAATCCCTCGCATGCAATGTTGTCGGCATGGCTCTAGAGATGCATGCTTACAAGGGCAGTGTGTGCTGAGTCCTGGTGGCAAACAACGGCTTGCCCAAAATTACACCGTGGCCGTGTTTTGGGAACCTTCATCCCAGAACTGCTCTTGCTCTGCATGAACACGTGCTGGGACAAGCGAATGCCGCACTTGGGGGAAGCCTGCTGGCATCGCCTGCATCTGGCTTCGTAAAATCTAAGCGCGCGCATTGCTGGAACCAAGTACTGCGTATTTCTGCGGCACCTACACACGGCATGCTGGCCCTTTTTGCATCCAGGTCTCTGAAGACTGCGCCGGGGCCCTGAAAATCGGAATTTTCTACGCTTCCCCAGCTCGAGGGCCAAAGGACCTAAAATTGCTGAAATTGGTTCTGTATGACGGTAAGCAGCCAACCCTCTACACTTGCTTTGTTCTCTCCAAATCTTCCCTCCCTGGGCCTTTGACGTCAGTTGAAGCCAAGACAATGGGAGTTTGACATTGCGGGCAGCCGCATCAGTGCAGGTCCGCACAAGTTGCACGTGTTGCAATTGAAACGAGACGTGCAGGAGATGGAGCGCTCTTAGTGGAACTGCGATGCTGCACATTGATGACAATCTCCATCTTCCTGCTCAAAATGCTGCGTGCCAAAGGCTCGCCATAGAAAATCAAACGGCCCGCCATGGCGACTCAATGATTGGACACCAGGTTAAACTCGTAGTTACGTGTGCCAAAAGCCCGGGTTTCGATGCTGTTTGGTTTGGAAAGGCTTCTCACCTGTGCTGAATACAAATACCGCAAATAGACTTGCATGTCAGAGAGTCTATCTACCTGCCTACAATAGCGATCGGCTGCACGGCTCAAGCTGCATAAGCGCCTGGACGAACCACCGAAAATGTTCGTAAGCTTCCCAGCTCAGGACGCCCTGAAATTAAGACATTGAAGTTTCTGCCGCAACAGTAGTAGCAGCACCATCAGCATCCAATCCCATAGGATCTAAAACACATTCCTCCAAGTTGCGCTTGATTGGCCCTTTCCTGAAAAAAACATGACCTTTCCAGTTAGCTAGTCAACCAGCATCCCAGCCCTCCAACCAAATAAAGTGATGACAGCCACCATGCTGCATGCGCAACAGGAACCTGGCAAGGCATCGGCATTCATATTGGCAGCCTTGGCTGACATCTCTACAGCTTACCCTTGAAAAGCCGGGACCCCATCAAACTTGACCGTTTTGTCACGAAGCTGATGCCAAAGCACAGAACGAAGTGCTCATGCTGCTGCGCGAACTTAACCGACTTACCCCCTGACTAACAATCACGCAGCTTGTTGGCTCCTCGCAGTCTGCCTCTGCCAGTCTCCCAGGTCATTGCTGGGAGTCTAGCAGCAAGTCGTTAGCTAGGAGCAATGATCCATGCGCTCAATCCAGAAAGAAGACGCGTGACGAAATGTCGGAGACAAGCCACCTCACTCCTTCCAGGAGCCCCTGCAGCCAGGATGCGCGCATGATCGCATCTCGAAAATGCTCGAGAACACTTTGGACTGCTACAGCGGTCAACGCCTGGCCTCCCCTGTGTATGCAGAGCAGGCCAGGATGCACCTGTGAATCCAACATGACAATAATAGGAAGCGAAGTGTTGCTGGGCGCGCCAGTGCCGCCGCTGTATCTCTTCCAGCTGCAGGAAATCTCGGATCTCCGGTGCAGTCCTGATGCAGACAGATTGCTTAAAATTCGCATCGTTTCAAAGCCTTGGCACTAAGGCGCTTGCATGGCACCGGGAAGATCTTGCTTATTTGCAAAGATGAGCAAGGTGGCGCCTGCAGTAAAAGATTGCCATTTGGCAGGAATGCTGGAACTGCAAAACCTTCCAACCAGAGTATATAACGTTGCATTGAAACAATAAATTCTCCGCCAGGCTGTTGCCCCACTGGCATCTCACACATGCTGAAACACATCGTTTGGAACGAGCGATGCATATGAGCTGTTGCCATCGCCTGCCAAGCGCTCCTCCTGCAGCAGACGGTCCTTGGCTTCTTGGGACACTTGCAAACGACTGTCCACGCCTCCCCCATCGCCAAAAGAAGTGCCCATGCCCCGACAAAACGTATACAAAAACATCTACTGCCAAGTTCGGGGCCAGCTCCTGTTTGCAGTCCTGTGCACATGGTGCTGAGTCATGTTGCCAACCGGCGTTCAACAATTCCAGCACAAAAGATACATGGTGTCCTCCAAACGCTGTCTATCTGCAGAATCCACAACCTGGAAAGAGACTGCTCGAAGATATGATTGTTCTTTTGATGGAGTCAGCTGCATGGGGTCTGCCACCATGACCATAGCTCCCCATGAGCGTCAAGTTTTGAAACGAGGGAGCCAAGCTCGATGCCCAAACAAGGCCATCCGTCGCTTCGAAGTAATTCCTGGAGCATGCCGCTGACTCGCGACTTATTTGGATGTACAATGTGACTGCAGCAAGGGCATCCTCCAGTAGCTGCGTATGGTTTTCTGTCCGCCAATGTCCCAAATATTCAGCTTGTAGCCCTCGTACCTCTTGCATCATTTTTTTGCAGAGGCCAACCTGCCCTTGCAAAGGCATTGATAAAATGATTCAGGGCACTCGAGGGTCTTGATGTTGAATCCAAGTGTTGGCGAGATTGTGTCTACAGGTTCACCATTGAACCTTGGCTAGGGAAGCAGTTTGCATTTTTTGGCGTGCCATGCAATTTGCAGCGCAGTGCTGGGAATGACGTGCTACGGAATTCTCACATCGCAAGCTTTAAGCAGTAAGTTTGCCCTTCTCCTGCAAACTCACTAAGGCAGCGACTTTTTGAGGATAGTGGTTTTGCCTGCCAGAAGTTTAAACAGCAGCTTCAAAGCGCCACCCAGAGCCAGCGAGATATGCAAAGCGGCTGGCAGGCCTGCATTGTCAAGGCCAAGCATGAGTATCCGAACCTCCTTTGCTAACAGGTGGCAGAGGTGGCATACTATCCTACTTACTACCCTCTCACATGACTGAAATTGAAGTGGGGGCCTTCTCCTCCTGCTTCATCTTCCTCACATGTGAAGCTTGCCAATCTGTGCTTTTGCTCTTTACGCGTGGCGGCAATAAACGGATCGTCAGGCCTGAGGATTTTCATGAGCCCCATTGCTGCAAGGAGCTGTGGTTTGTATAGGCGATGCGTCTTCGTTTGCGACGGAATCCCGACACGCTTGAGACTTCGTCCAGTGAATGGTATGCTGGGTGTGGATGTGTCTGAAGCGATGTTGTGTTTCATTTCTGCTCCGCTGTTAACCGAGGGTTTTGGTAGGAAACTGCTCAAAGTGAGGGGCAGTGCTGAGGTGAAGTTGGTAGGCATACAGGCTTGAGCAATCCTGTGTGTGTGCAGCGTGGGATCAAGAGCTCAAGCGAACTTTAGCCTGACTTTCAGACATGCTTTTTATCTCCCGCTGCGTATCACTGCGCTGCGCTTAGGCCCTTACTTGGGCATCGAAACGTTGAGCTCTTGCATGAGCTCTGAGGCTCGTTTACGACCAAGGGCTCTTGAGAGGCCACCGTGAATGTACGAATTAATTGACACGCCATCCTGCACCGCCTCACGGAAGAGGCTCTCTGCTCTTTCCGGCTCTTTGGGTCTGGCCGTGGCGTATGCTAGGAGCTGGGCATAGATGAAGTAGTCATTCGGTTGGCAGCCATTGGCTCTGAGCTCATCCCCAAGTGCTTCTACTTGCTGCCAGTTTCCTCTGTAAGCAAAGGGTCTGGCTAATGCAGAGTACGTAACAACGTGAGGTGATATACCTCTCCCCTGCATGCGCTTGAAGATTGCCATTGCCTTTTCACAATCACCTGCTTTGCCGCAGGCATCTATTACACTGCTGTATACCACGGCATCACTCTCAAGCCCTGCATCCTCCAACTTCTGCAACCATTTTTCTGCTTGATCTGCTTTTCCTGCCTTCGCACAAGCATTGATTACGGCGCTGTAACTTCTGAGGTTTGGTCGGATCCCCAGCTCCAGCATGCGAGAGTGCCAGTGCTCAGCACGCTGTAAGTTGCAGGCCTTTGCACAAGCATTGATGACTGCACCAAAAGAGACGACATTGGGCTGGATGCCCAGATCCAGCATCTCCTTCATCCATTTCTCTGCCTTCTCCAAGTCACCTGCCTTTGCTGCTGCATCAATCAAACTTGCGTAGGTGGTCACAGTAGTTTCCAGACCTCGGCTTCGCATCTCCTCAAGCCAACTTTCAGCCGCATCAATTTTTCCCTTCACGGAGCATGCATGGATCAAGGAGTTGTAGCTGATGCTGTCAGGCTCAATCCCCCTCTCCAGCATCTGCCACTGCCACATGCTCGCAGAGGCTTCGTCACCGCCCCGAGCAAAGGCATGAACAACAGTGGCAAAGCTGATAACGTTGGCCTGCAAGCCTTTATCAAGCATTCGTTGCAACCAGAACTCGCTGTCCTTGGCTTTGCCTGCCTTAGCACACGCATCCAACACTGTGTTGTAACTGCACACTGTGGCCTTGACGTTTTGCTTCTCCATGTGTGTAAGCCATTGCCCGGCGGCCTGGTACTGGCCTTCTTTTGCAAGGGCCCGGATCACAAGGTTATAGCTGAGTGTGTCGGGTGGACCATGGGCCGCCTCAAACTCACTAACCAACTCCTCCAGTACTGCGGCCTTACCGGATGATGCGCGGCCCAGCTGGAAGTTCAAGGTCTGTTGGGCAGATTTGAGTTGCTTGCAGGGGCTGTTCGGAACTTGGCCATCTGAGGGCTTGCTCTGGCTCAGCTGGCTCTCTTGGGTCTTGTGCCTGACGGACCCCTTGCAGCTTTTAGCCCTGGATCTCAGGTAGATGGCCTGGCCTCCGCCGGCCAAGAGAAGACATCCCACAATCCAGTCTGCACTCCCGCAGGCTTCCCTCACACTAGGAAGCTGGTCGATGTTCGCAAAGAAGAAGTAATCTATCGAGAAGACTGCCACTACAAGTCCAAGCAGCAGCACCAGGTGAAAGAGGCTGGTTCTCTTGGTGCCTCCTGGAAAGATCTCACTATCGGACTTGCCCATGAGCGAACGCGCTCCAAGGACGGGTATGAAGGCTCAGTATCGAAATCCGTGGGGTTCCGGATGCTATCTTGCAACTGCATCCAAGGGATGCTTGACTGCTTAAAAGCCCGCGTTTGGTTGTAGAGAAAGCATGCAGACAGCTCATGGAGAGATATGGAGAGCATGCAAAGCACCATGCCTGACTGCAATACGCATGCCTTCTACACGCATTCCTGCGCACGGACAGGACATGATTTTTGCCTGGGCACGCGCCCTCATCGAGGGCTCTGTGGACCAACTCAAGCCGTGGCTTTATGCTGCCCCGTGATTTGCTGCCTGCATCAAAATTTCACAGAAACTCTAAGCAGTTTGGATCACAATTTGGACGTTACTATTCTTGTTATTATTGCTACTCTTACTACTATGACAGATCTTTTTGATACGATTATAACTAATACTATTACTACTATTGATATTAGTACTATTACTATTAGTACTAAGGGCTTCAGGAGATCGGAGTCCAGGCCCAGGCTGGCGTTGGACTCAAAGTTTGTGGCTTTGGGTGTGGCCTGGGGGTTATGGGCCCCAGTACGGGCCCTTAATCCTGGGATTTTTAGATACCTACTATATGACAATGCTAGCTGGGAATGAAGACATGCAAAAGAGCATAGAAACTACTATAATGGGTCATATAGGGACAACTACTAGGATCCATTCCTTCATTCCTAGCTAGCCAACGGTAAGTTTGCGGCCCGGGCTGGAGGTTCCGAGCATCTATCGACCAGTCCATTATCAGTCCATTAAGCTCTCCCTTGTGACGATTTTTTGCTTGACCCGAAGGACTCTTCAACAAATCAGCTGCGCGCAAACGATTCTGACCCCGGGCCACAGCAAAATCCATGTGATGTGAGAATATTGTCTAGATTCTCAATCTCTATTCACGGAGAAATATCCGTCAGATGCAGGTCTGGGAGCATGGGATACCTTGGGCCATGCCTACGAAACAAATCTTATCGAGTCCTGATCGCCCGCCGCGTGGTGCTTTGCCTTTCGACTCTCGCAGCTTCCGGGTGTCGGGTTGAGGATTTAAGGGCTATGGCTTCAGAGAGCTTTGATCTGGATCTCCAAACCTATTCCTGCCCAAGCCCAAGACACAAGAAGACTGGCTCAGCGTCTGGCACCAATGAAGATAGCAAGGAGCTGTTAAAACCGATGTGCCATCTGAAATCTTGCATGACAAAGCATCTGGAATGGTGCAGCTTGCAGAAAACGAGCTGTGACAAACTTTGTACGCACCAACATAGCATCTTATTCCTCCTCAAATCACCCGAAGCGTGAAGCCAGCGGCTAGCTTCGGACTTCGGTTGCCGGACAATTGGAAGATTCAATCCTGCATCCTTGCCATGCCCATCGTGCCTTTGCACATCTAAAGCGTCTAAGCCAAAGCCCCCAGAAATCAGAAAGATGAAGCAAAGCACAGCCCGGCGATTGTGAAAAAGCCTTCTTCAGATCACTGCATCACGCCGACGGCCATGAGACTCAGAAACCACTGAAAGGTGCCCGCACTCTATATGCCCAAATGGCACAAGACCGGCCCAGCCATGGCAAGCGTGCACTGAGGAGGCGTTGCAACCACAACAAGCAAACATAACACTCACCATAACAAGAAAATTTCTCACCAGGGCAAACAATCTACCAAAGTAGCACGACAAAACGCTCAGTTGCGTTTTTTCCTTCAGCTCCTTAAGTGCTCTTCTGCGAGCTGCCATGTGTACTCCCAGCTGCTTTCCCGCTTCTCAGAGCCCCAGATTACTTGGGAGTAGGGACTTTCAAGGGCCCAGAATACCAAAATATGCACTCGCAGCCGAGCCCCAGATTGCTTGGGAGCACGCTTTTTGTGGCTTTCAAAATACCAAAATGTGTACTCCCAGCTGCCCTAGATTGAATGGGAGTACGTTTTTTAGGATTTTCAAGGGCCCAAAATAGCAAAACGTGTACTCCCAACTACCTTCCCGCTTCTCAGAGCCCCAGATTGCTTGGGAGCGCGTTTTTTGTAACTTTCAAGGGCCCAACACCAAAATGTGTACTCCCAGCTGCCTTCCTGCCTGTCAGCCCCAGATTGTCCTGCAGCCACAGGCAGAAGTTGTCGGGAACAAGCTAAATCCTTGTCATTGTGAGAGGAAACCTGTCGTAGTAAGAAAGAACATGTCATGATACCAGCACCCTCTTGCCTGCCTGAAGCTCCTTCACATACCTGCGCAGCTTGAGAGATTGGCCTCGAGCGCAGAAGCGAGGTGGGCTTTCAACTGCTGTGCGGGCCTTCAACTGGTGCGCGGCTCTGGCTCTGTTGCAGAAGACCCCAACATACCCCAACACAGCTAGTCCAGCTGATCCACGGCTTTTAGGGTTTCGGTTTTTTTAACTGCCCGAGTGCCAGCGTTGTGCTGCTTGCTGTTCCGTGGCGCTACTATTGAGGCTCCAGTCCTTGCTACGCTGGCTTTGGGCAAATTTTCCATCCAAAGTGGGTCACGGAGAAGTCGGAGTACCAAGCAATCTTATTCGCCGGCACTTCTCCATGGGGCGATGAGGTTCCGCTATATTTCTTTCCATTCACCTTCAGATAGTCACAGTCGCCGTCCTCCACCTGGAAATCTTCCACTTCCATCGCGTACGCAGCCATTACATCAAACTCGCACTCTTGGTTGTTGCTGTACTGATTCGATCCCCCGTAGTTTGGACTGAGGATGCAGCCATCTGCATCGACCGTGCACTCGCCTTTCACCAGCAACCACGGCTTTGTGGGCGTCAGCTGGATATCATCGACAGC